TTGGACTGTAGGAGGAAACTGGTGCACCTGTTTGTTGCAAAGCAACAAAAAATGCTTCCAGCTGCACCATTTTGTAGCTCATAATATAATATAATACATAATGTAATATAAAAGCTAACATACAACTCTCACAATTATCAACTATTCAATAATTGTGAGATATACAAATGTAAGTTTTTAAACCTATGTATACAGACACTGATTATTAATGATTATTAAGGATGAGTCCACTTTTAAATTCTTTGTTTCCATTTCAAAAGATATTTATTTTAGATTTAAAAGAATTGTCTTATGAACCAGCTGTTTAGTATTTTATTCTCGGCTGTTGCCTTTGCTGTCTGATTCAGGGCATGACCTTTGACATAGGAATTATAGGGAGTAAGTTTACAGTCAGTGGTGTTGGTCAACAGACCTGAACTGGATAAAACATTTCCTCAATCAGCGCCTCGATTATCATATTGTTCTCTGAGGTGTTTAGAAGAAGCATCATAAACCAGATACAACAATTCAAAGGAAAATATTGCTTCAGTAACTTGAAGTAAGTCATTGCTTCAAGATAGCAATAAATCAAGAAAGCAATAACAATAAAGATAGCAGGAGTCTTCTATCTTTATAATCTGCCTGTCTCCTTTAAAAGCCACATTTCCTCAAAGCAGTTTGTAAAGTATGACAATTTACTTCTCATTGTCGATCATCGCTGTTAAATATTGGTGAAACTTGTCTCTTCCATCCTGATTGCTGCTCTGTACTGAAATAGAAATGACTTATCTTTGCGACTTGTAGTTAATGATGGACCAAATGGGAATTCCTGTAAATTCCTGCAGCATTTAGGTCAGTAGGTCACTTAAATTGTACTTATATGCTGCTGTAAAAGAATAAAAACGTTTAAACGGCTTCATTCTTGCAGTTGCAGCTATGTATTATTTATCTGATCACTTTATAGCATAAAGATTGTAACTTTGAGCACAGAGTAAAAAGACAGAGAAGGAAACAGAAATCCATTTTCAGATGTTGACTGGCAGTAACAAAACCTTTCTGTTCTTACATGGAGTCATGATAGAGATAGTAGAAGGGATTACAACACTTTTTTTGTCCTTTGTGTTTCTTCCTACAAAATGTTCAACTCTGTTTGGCCTATTTAAAATGTAATTTACATACAGTGCTTTATATTTCATTTGAACGAGTTAGAATGCCTTGGAAACTTTTGGCTGGTTTAGATAATCAGCGTTTTAGGCTTTTTGGGGGTATTTTCTTAGAACATCAACATCCTTTCGATTCATTTTCAGTTCAACTTTGGACTTGAAGCATGTTGGACAGAGTATTGTTACAGAATATGGACAGAGAATCATAAAAACTATGACGCTGTTCAAAAGTCACGTATTTAAGAATCTATAAACAAAAACTGCAAGAACTGAGACAAGCTCTGAGAGGCTAATCATCCATCCCGTGAGTTAGCTACATTAATATAATGACCCAGCTAGTTGTCAATAGCTCATTCTGAGTTTCTATCAGTTCTGTCGGTGAGTTTCAGCTAATGACACAAGAACAAGATCATGACACATTTCCTGAAAATACGATTAGTAAAACGTTGCTTTTAGACACAACACTGCTTTTTTCTTTGAGTTTTTGAGTCTGAAAGATTTGTTGGTTGGATTAAAGTGTCCCTAACATACAAGAACACTGTGGAAACTGAAAGTGGCTTTTAAAAGGAGCCAAAGTTGAAAAAAAAAAAAACTTTCAAAGAGCTACGAAAGCAAGCCATTATAACATGTGTAGTAAACTATATTACTAGAACAAAATGTGCTCCTCACATTTACTCTCCTTCCTATGGTGCACAAAACTACTAACACATTTCAGTTAGCCGTTGTTTCAATAAAAAGCTATTTGTATTTTTGCTTGGGTTAGACATTGTCAGGACTTGGTATGGTGCAGCACTTTAACACTTAATGTTTCTCCGTCACGAACCCTTCGGATATATGAGTAATGCAGTTTTACTCTGAAGTATTTTCTGTCGTTTTATTTATTTACCACTCTTCACCCAAACATGGGTGTTGTCCAGCTATTTTTGTCACAGCGCTCGCTGATTCATATTGTTTCTCATTGTTTCTCTGTCTTTACATTTCTTTAAGCATAGTAGTTATTTACGTTGTCATTTTGGGGCTTATGAACAAACATCTGTCTCACGTCAATGTTTTTTTGTTTCTCCAAATTTCCTGAATCATAGGAAAATGGAATATTAATTTAAAAATTTGGTTTCAGTAGCATTTTTTTAAAATAATTGAATCATAATTCTGCACAAATGACTTGTTAAAAACAATTTATTTCACATTTAACTTTGTTGCTTCATTTTCCAATCATTAAGAGGCATAAAATGCTTCATTTTCAATGCAGATTTTTTTTAAAAAAATACAAATAATTTTGTTGGTGAAACTTGATTTTTCACTCTTTCCATGACAACTTTGGCCCAGGTTTTTCAACTCCAATCATTTGTCTTTTTGCAGCAGTGTGTAAATTTTTGTCTGTTTTTTTTCTCATAAAGGTTTGTTGCTTAAGATGCCTTTCAAAGACGATTAATTGCCAAATGTGAGTTAAACTTTTGAAAGCAACAGCTACCTCTACACAAGATGCACGCCCATACTTGTTTTCTGCTTTCTTCATTATGCATTCACAAGTAAAGTGGCTTAAACATTTACACTGATGTAATTCCAATTAGTAGAGCATCACGATAACAATTCCTGCATGTCAGGAATTCATTTTAGTATCCACGATGACTTACTGCTGCTGAGGACAAAGCTTCCTTATTATTTTAACAGAAAAGGTCAGGTCTGCACGACATCTCATAGTCTAGTAAATGATTGTCATCACAAATGACTCATGCTTTGTCCCAAACCAGCTTTTCCTCCTGCTTTCGAGGATTGCACAGAGCAGTGATCAAGGTACCATTGTTCAAGTAATCTTTGAGATATTTTTAATTTGTTTTTGTGCTTCAGTGTGCAGTATTGTTGTCTGACTCTCGAAGGGCAACTTTGATGACTGCGGTCCACCCTGGCCTGAAAAACTACCTTTTCTCTTACACATCAAGTGGTGTAATGTGGGTTTCTTGCCACACTTAAGAGTTAACTAATAGCTTCTCAGGTTTGTTTCTCCTTTTCTTTCTAACTTCCTTCAAAAAGAAGTTAAGACACAAGTGTAACTCTTTGCTGAATGTTGCAAAAAAAGGGTGGAAATGTTTCTGATAAGTGACCTTTTCTGCCAAGAAGAGAACATGGGCCAGTTGTTGGCTGCTGATATGTATGATAGATTGAGATGAAAGAATGCTGTTACACCTTTACTGAGTTAATCTGCAACAATAAAAAATGACGTACAATTTTCATTGTACGTCATTGGAAAACGTGCAGGAAATGTTCCAGTTTTATTGTGCTATACAGTAAAGGGCAATGAGGTCTAGTTTATTAATTCAACAGTATTAACTTCCATCACAGTATCTGGTAAAGTTTACCCTTTTTTTAACAAAAGCTCAAAGAAAATGTGCAAAAATGAAAGTGACATAATGAAAAATATAATGTCTCTGTTGCTATCCTGTCATAGATTAATCCTTAAATATAAATCAAAACTGTGCAAATGAAAGTCTGAACATTTGTTTCGAATTATTAAATGTAGAAAAATACAACACAGTAGATTTTCTATTAGAGTTTGTCAAGTTTGGGTCACGTTGGCCAAAATGACATTATGGTGAGCTTTAGATTTTTCTCGGCCTATATTTTTTTATTTTACATTTCTGAATTTTGTATGCTGCTTTCTTTTCACCACAGACTGTGCGTTAGCACAACATGTCTTATTTTTCTGTACAATGCTATTGATGGAGCTAAGGCCGTTTTTGTCTCTCTAGACAAATACATAATTAAGCTTCTATGCAATTTTTTTTTCTCTTTGACAAAATAAAAACTACCAAAAAACTTTATAAGCTCTCTGAACTATTGCTGCCTGCAGTTATTGCCACATTATTGCTTATTCTTTCTACAAAAAATGTCCACATATTTGTATTTCGCAAATGTATGATGCCAAAATTCAAAATATGCAGTCAGATGAGTGAGCTTAAAAAGATTAGAGAACTCTTTAGTCATATAATTTACCTTCTGATTACATCAAATATTTAATGACTTTCCTCTATATTTCATGTATGTATTATTCACTTGCTTGATGGCAGTCAAAGCTGAAGGACTTTGGCTTGTTTTGTGTTAAACTTTATCACAGTTTGCAACAGAAAGAAGAAAGCCATTGTATGTACAGAAAAAGCATCTCCATCTAAAACACACACACCCTTAAAGTGCTTTTGAGGAAAACATTACATTTGATTCACTCTTCCTCGTTACTCAACTTTCACAAATGCCTTTTATTTTAGTTTCTCATCTCTGTGACACATTTTTTGTCAATACCTCATTGTTTGAAAATGAAAACATTCTGGATGTTTTTTTATATTGTGTTGTAGCATGAACAGTTGTTATGAATGACCTTAGTAAAAATGCTTTTTATTAAAAATGTTATCCACAGATGTCAGTGTTAATATGTTTGTGGTTTCTAGATATCTGACCAACCCATCCAAATTGTCAGACAATTGTTTGTAGGTTTCTAATAGGGATGCAGCCAACTGATCTATCAGCGCTAATTTTCTTAATTTTTTGAGATTGGACGATCTCATCTATTCCACAAAGGTTTAAAAAATCAACTGTCTCCTTTTGCTCTGCTGTGAGAGAGAGAGATTACCCACCAACCAGATCATGTATGCACATTTTCAGTGAACAATAGTCACCCCACTATTGACAACTCAATAACATTTCAGACGAAGAGTATTGGTATCGGCCAAAATTGGAATCGGTAGGTCAGGCTTTTAAAAGATTGTTAATCTCACTCTATCAGAAAACTGCAATCGGTGCACCAATAGGTCCAAAATAAGATCTTATAAGTTCACCAGAAGCTATAGCTAGTTAGATAAAAGGAGTGTTTCCTACAGTTTTTTGGCAAAGAACTAGAAAGTGACAGAAGCCACGCCTGCTGATCCACTAAAGGAGGCAAGGCGTTGGGCCCATTTACCGAATATAAGAAGGGAAAGATATCTGAACACAGCATCACTACCTCCAAATATCAAATAACATCTTAGAACACCACAGAAGCCTTCACAGACAAAGGTAAAAACAATTATTTTAATCCATATAGGAAAATATCATTATATTTTCAACCAGTTGATGTTTGTTTGATGCTTTGCTTCAGAGATGCTTCTCTCTGTCCTCCTTGTGCTGGGACTCTGCCTGGTGCCCAGTCAATCCAAACCTACGGGTAAATTTCTCCTGACATAATTTCTTTTACGTTTGCTTTTTAAAGGCATTATGTTTAAATTGTTCTTCCTGTTTTCCAGAGGAAAGACTTGGCAGTCGTTTTCTTCGTAAATGCTTTGAAGAAGCAAAGAAAATAGTAGACGATGCATACAAATACTCAAGAGAAGAGTGAGTTCATAATGCTTCCTTATGTTGACTGATGGACAGTTTCTGAATGTCTGAACTGCCAGAGCTCTGGATTCTCGTTGAGAGAGAGATATTTCCATTCCTTCAGGAGCCTCAGACGGGTCCGCAAGGATGCGGTGCAGCCGCATGATGCTCTTCGTCTCCTGAAGCAGCCTCGCGGTGACACTCGTTCAGCTGTGCGCTCTGCTGACTACATGGCACAGACTCTCCGTTTGGTCCAAGAGAAAGTACATCGTGTGCACAGGCGCTCCCTCAATGCAACAGGTCAGACAGAGTCAAAGCTGATTTTTTCCATGTCTAGTACTTTTAACAATCTGATTACATCTAAAAACCGATAAGGACATGGAGCTCTATGAACTACACCTTTCAGATTTACTCACGGAACAAGATTTGAAAGAACTTGCCCGGATCACTGGATGTGAGGCTCAAATCAGGAATCCACCATGTCGCAACACGCCCAATATCAATAAGTATCGCACAGCCACCAGCGTCTGCAACAACTTGTAAGTCTTAAATTACAATTATGATTTTATTGAATTTAAAACAGTTTTGCGGGACCGATTGATAGTCTGTCTTAAGAACTTGCTATCAGTCGCGAATATATGGTTTATTGGTGCAAACCATCATTTTTAGAAGTTCCCGTTTTAGATCAAAAAGTTGAAACTTACCTTTAGAGAAGTACTTCTTAACATCCTAGACTATGAACCACAAAAGATGTGTTCACTTCTGAGGGATTTCAAAAGTGTGATTTCTAAACATCAGCCTTCCACATTTCTTTTACAGGAAAAACCCTCGCCTTGGTGCCTCCAACACCCCCTTCACACGCTGGCTGCCCTCTGAATACGATGATGGCATATCCCAAAAGGATGGAACAGAACCCGCAAATTCAACAACTTCTTGCTCCCATTGGTACCAACTTTGCTTCAAGAATCCATATTTTTTCATCAAATTATTTGCCTCAAGTTTAAAATGAAATCTTTTTCTCTCCACTTTTAGGTGCGGCAGGTGTCCAATAACATCTTGAGCACCACAGATGCAGGCGTTGTCAATGACACTGAGTACTCCCACATGGTGACCATGTTTGGGCAGTGGAATGACCATGACCTCACCTTCACGCCATTTTCACCAAGTATCCGCTCCTTTAGCAATGGACTGAACTGCGATGAAAGTTGTGAGCAGAGTGAGCCATGCATCCCTATCCCGGTTGGTGTCAAAGCTCAAACTAAATTGTTTAATTTTGTTCCACCTTTCTGTTGTTTCACTTCAAACTCTTGTTTTTGTAATGATCAGATCCCTCCTGGAGATCCCCGGATTCCCTCCCGCCCAGACAGCTGCATCCCAGCCTTTCGATCTGCTCCTGCCTGTGGAACGGGTTACTCTGCATTTAATTTTGGAGGAGAACCCAGCAAGAGGGAGCAGATCAATTCACTGACGGCCTTTCTGGATCTGGGGCAAGTATATGGCTCCGACGAGAAGCTCGCCCTGAACCTTCGTGACCTCACCAGTGATGCCGGCCTGCTGCGCGTCAACACCGAATTCAGGGACAACGGACGCGAGCTGCTGCCCTTCCACTCCCTGCAGGTGCAAATGTGCGCCACCCGCAGAAGAGTCACCAACGACACCAACGCAAGGGAGGTGCCCTGCTTTATTGCAGGTTTGTGACTTTCTAAGGAGAAATTGAGTTGCATGATTGAATAAAAATGATAATTTGATTATTGGATATTTCAAGATCCCGTATCGCCAATATTCAATATTGATGAACGACTTACCAGAAATTGTCATTTTCAGCTAATGTCATGGGAGTGGAAGAGTTAGGGATCTAACTCCTGGAATGGGATCTTTCTGCATGTTCTCACTATGCATGAGTGGGTTCTCTCTGGACACGCTGGTTTCCTCCCACAGTCCGAAAACATGATCATCAAGTTAATTGGTCTCTCTCTAAATTCTCCTAAGCTGTGGATGTGTGCGGGGATGATTGATTGTCCTGTTTTTCTCTGTCATGCCTTTTTATGGACTGGCAACGTGTCCAGGATGTACCTGCCTCTCTCTGGAGATAGGCACTCTACACCACTCGCGACCCCACTGGGGATAAGTGTGTTGAATAATGTTGGGTAGAGTTCATGTCATATTTCTAAGGTGGCTCCAAAAGTAAAAATGTCAGCAGGAACTGAGCTGTTGCTACATTTCTATGCAGGTGATGCCCGTGTAGACGAGAACATCGCTCTGACATCTATCCACACCCTGTTTGTGCGTGAACACAACCGTTTGGCTCGTCAGCTGAAGAGGCTGAATCCACACTGGGACAGTGAGACTCTCTACCAAGAGGCCCGCAAGATCATGGGTGCTTACACCCAGGTAAAACAACCCAAAGAGTCAGCAAGGAGTCTCATTTTACTCAAAGCCTGTGCTGTTTTCTCATATTCTGGTTTTTGTCTATCAGATGTTTGTCTTCAGGGATTATCTTCCTCACATTGTGGGTCCTGACGCAATCCGCAGACAGCTCGGACGTTACCCTGGCTACAACCCTGATGTTGACCCCAGCATCTCCAATGTGTTTGCGACGGCCGCTTACCGTTTCGCTCACCTGGCAATCCAGCCAGTTTTGTTCCGACTGGATGCAAACTACAGAGAGCATCCTACTTTCCCCAGCGTCTCCCTGTACAGGGCTTTCTTCACCCCATGGAGAGTCATTTTCGAAGGTGTGCCCCGCAAAAATAACTGCAGCCATCTTGTCATTGTGCTGTAGGATGAAGCCCTCGTTTCATTTGCTCTCACCCTCCAGGTGGAATCGACCCTTTGCTGCGTGGTCTGATAGGACGCCCTGCGAAGCTGAACACCCAGGATCACATGATGGTGACTGCTCTGAGGGATAGGCTGTTCCAGTTTGTGATGCACTTGGCTCTGGACCTTGGTTCTCTCAACATGCAGAGGAGTCGAGATCATGGCCTGCCTGGTACATGATTTATTTATTACATCTAAAAGCAAGGAATCTGAACCTGATCTCTGACTCAGTCCTCAGAGGTTTAAGTCTTTGAATTTTAGGAGCAATTTTGTGAGACTTCCCACTTCATTCTTAGTCATATATGCTGATTTTGGAATAACACAGATCATGCCACTAATATCTCATATTAACATGTAGTTTTATTTGGACAATCATCCCTAAAGTGTCTCATCCTCATGATTTCTATCACTTCAGGCTACAATGCCTGGCGCAGGTTCTGCGGTCTGTCCCAGCCTCGTAACCAGGCAGAGCTGGCTCAGGTTTTGGGGAATCCCTCCCTGGCTCGTAAGCTGCTGGAGCTCTACGGGACCCCCGAAAACATCGATGTGTGGCTTGGAGGTGTCGCAGAGCCATTTGTGCGTGGCGGCCGCGTGGGTCCTCTGTTCGCCTGCCTCATCGCAACTCAGTTCCAGAGGATTCGTCAAGGTGACAGGTCAGGAAAGCAGTGGACGAATGAAGTGTACAAATATAAATCGTAGAATTAAATGAAATGATTTGGTAACTTTCTGGGATATTTCAGATTGTGGCACCAGAACCCCGGTGTTTTCACGCCGCAGCAGAGGCAGGCTCTGTCTGCTGTTACACTCTCCAGAATTATCTGTGACAACACCGGCATCGCATCGGTGCCCAGTGACGCGTACAGCGTCGTCTCACAAAGGAACTCCCTGGTGCAGTGCTCCACTCTGCGTCGCCTGGATCTTAATGCATGGAGGGAAAGACCCGCCATGCTCTGTGACTCCGGTGAGAACTTTTTCATCCTTGGGACCAATCGGCTTTCCTGATGTACTGTTCTCTTTTGTAATCGTGTATGAACTGTATGATTTTGTTTGATATTACAGGATCTTCTGCTGGTTGTTTAGACTCCAGTGGCGGAGAGGTCAGTTTAACCTTTAATACTGAAATCTAGGACATTTAAAAAATCTGGACTTATTTTGATCCTTGTCACGAACAGAACCCAACCCAGACGGATGAACTGAACAATCTGGACCCTCTGGATGTCCAGGACTCATTAGACCCTGTGGACCCTGTAAATGTTCATGGTCCTCTGGATCTCCAGGAACCTCTGAATATGCAAGAGTCATTGAAATTTCAGACCAATGAGGTAGTTGATTCTGAGTAGTTACTTTATAAAGACAGCAGTTCATCTGTATATTTTTTGTCAGAGCTCAGATTTGGTTGCTTTTGAATGTGATTATTTTGTGCAAACAATACTCATTTCATTTTCTCAGCATTTTGATTTATTTATGTTTCTCCTCAGATCCATCAAGACCATTCAGCTCCAGATGCCCTCTAGGATCACCTAGAGGGCATCTAGGTGGTCCTAGATGCCCTCTAGGATCTCAAACATCAGTGTCCCTTTTTGGAAATACGGCCCATACACATAGAGATTCATTTGTTTCCGTCATAAAGAAACAAAACAAGCCAAAACAGATCCTGGACACGCCTATTTATGTTCCTCAGTCTTTGACTCTGCACTTCTTTAATTGGAACAGAAATTGTCAAGCTGGCCATCAAAATCTTCTTCTCAGGACATTTGTTCTTCACTATGGCACATAAACACACCCTGTGGAGTACTTATAACTTTAGACCAACATTTAGCTTTTTACTTTTGATATCAGAGCACGATCTGGAAAAACTCCAGTTAGTTTACTTAGAAACACAGAAAAAGAATAAAAAATGGATAAGCACCATTTAGCTTTATACTGTATACCTACTAATAGAATCTAACATTGAGAAACAAACTTAAGTTCCAGAGAAAAACTTATTACAGATTATGATCTACTCATGGTTATAAAACATGGGGAACCAATATTTAGTTTTGTACTTTGTCTTTTGTCTTTGGATTTGTTGTTTTCTTTGCATTTTCTTCTGATTCATGTAAAGCATTTTGAACTGCCTTGTTGCTGAAAATTTGCTATATCAATAAAATTACCTTACCCTCTCCAGGATGAACCTCCAATTAAAAAATACCAGTGACTTGTGGGCTTTTAAATTTCTTTACCTCAGTCAGTCACAGCAGCAGATGACCAGATAAAGACAAACCATGAGTTTGTGAGTTTTACGCTAAAACTCACAAGGACATTCATTCCATGAGTTTAAATTCAACGAATGTGTTTAACTCTGTTACAACTTACAGTTTATCAAACCAAAAATTAGCATTTGGCCAAGTTTGACGGGATCAACCAGTATTAAATTGAGCATGTTATGCACTAATAACTTGTACCTTAAAATCTTATGCTATGCTTTGTTTGCTAATATTTAGATTTTCTGCAACTTTGTTGTCTTATATTAAATGTTGCATTCAATAAAGCAATTGAGCAATCACTGATTTTATTTATTTTTTATTACTGATTTGTTGCAAATTTAAAATAAAGGTTAAAATAAGGAGCTGCAAATCATTAAAAATGAGAACTCATTGATGTTAAATGTGGAATACACTTAATGACATGTCTTGCAAAGTTGTAGCCAAAACATACAAATAAATGTATCATTTATTGTAGTAGCATAATCTCACTGCAAATTTACAAAAAAAAAAGTAATAAGAAGAATAAAAATTCACTCTTAAAGTTGATTATAAAAAGAAGAAAGGAAAATGTTTCTAACAAAATCACATTTGAGAAGATAAATGTGTGGATGTGCTATAACCTTCTTCAGCTTAGCAAAAACAAAACTGAAGTTACTATCTTTGAACCTATAAAGGAATGATCCGGAGTCAGCTGCTTCAGCTGGAAACTGGCGATCAAGCCCAAAATTTAGATGTAGTGATGGACTCCGGCATATACCCATAGAATCAATCATTCCTTAAAGATGGGTTCATAGTTGATGCATTTAATGAAGCTGGGAACATGGACCAATCACATTTTGGGGCTTGCATCACACGCACTGCCACAGCCGAGTCTCTAAAATTTACCTCAGCACCTTTCACTCAAACTGGACACAGGCTGACCTGTATATCGACTCCCTGTGGACTGCTGTTGTGGCAGGTAAGGACGTCATACACACAAGGGTCCTTCTCCAAGACTTGGCACTCTTCCTCCTCCAAGTGAGAAAAGACCTTTAGCTTTGGATAGCTTTGGGGTTTCTCTCACTGCAAATCGTGCAGTGCATTCAGCTAGACTTTAGAACTGAGGCGAAGTGCTCTACCTTCTTGGTTTCAGTGAGTTTTAGTCAGCTCGCTGAATCAGCTGCAGCTGTTTGATTGACTTTGTAGAAAAACATGTGAAGAAGACACTGTTGCAATAATCAGTTACTCACTTAACCTCATGATGGTCAAGATCAAGCAACTTCAGCTTGTTTGTCACAGTGACAACAGCACAAAAAACCCATTGTGCAGAAAAGACATGCCCACCATAAAATACACACACTTACACTGCTTTTTAAAGAAACATAATGATTAACTTTACATTGATTGTTCCTTTTTCTTATCTTGCACAAATTCAAGTCATTACAGCATTGTTTTCATATGGATTTTTTTCCATTAAATGCTAAACAGAAAAATTAAGACACTGCTTTTTGACTCTTTGAGGAAGGGACTTTCATATTATTTAGATTTTTTATCTTCATTTTATAAAGACTAAGATGTTTTTGCTTTGTATTTTGCTTTTCCTATTTGTCGTTCCTGTGTTGTTCTTCAAAAGGCTGAAACCACAGTACCATCAGGAAAGTATTCTGGAGAAAAGCTTTTTCCAAAAGCAAGTGTCCTTCTTTTCCTTTGTCTCTGATTTCATTTAGATCACAATAAAAGTTTATGAAGCTAAATTAAACCTTTTGCTATGAATCTAACTCAAGATGTTGGTTCATCTCACTTTAATTCTCATTTGTGAAATGTTGAAATGTTATATCATTAATGACTATATTAACAAGGTGAATAATTAAGAATAATTAATAATTAATAACAGTCAAAAATGTTGAAGTAGAGAAAATTTCCATGTTTGAGCAATAGTTTAGCTTTAAATAGTTTAACACAAATGCAAATGCTAAAGTCAAACTTGCTTATTGTTATTTGGTTTACCAAAGTATAACTCAACACAGAAAAATTATTTAAAACCAAACAAATCTATATCACTTGATTTCATTGATAGAAATGAAACAGGTTTCAGTTTTTGGCTGAATTTTTTTGTTGTTCCTCTACCTTCGTCAAATTACCTTTGAAAAATTACCTTGTAAAGTGACTATTGATTAAAATTATTGAAACGTTTTATCCCTATATGTCAGTGTTTGTGCCGCTTTCTGGGCAACAGAACCTAAAGTACTATTGTTCATAGGTTTCTAAAGGCCATTAGTCATGTCAGTTGCCCAGAAGCTGTGACTGATTAGACAAAAACAGTGTTTCCTTCAGGACTTTGATAAGGAAGAAGGAACTGCATTTCCTGACAGTAGCCGCACCTGTTCATCCCGTAAAGGAGGCGAGGCAATGGGTCAGTCCACTGAATATAAGGAGGGCCAGAGAGCTGAATGCAGCATCACAACCTCCAGATCCCAAAGAGCATCCTAGAACGCCACAGAAGCCTTCACAGACAAAGGTAGAAAGATTTATTTTACACCATGGAGGAAAGGGTTTTCAATTCATTGCATTTTTAATCGGTTGATGTTTTGTTTTAGAGATGCTTCTCTCTGTATTCCTTATCTTGGGCCTCAGCCTGGTGCCCATTCAATCCAAACCTACAGGTAAATTTCTACTGAAAATGTTATTTTTTTTACATGTGCTTTGTAAATGCATGATGTTTAAGCTATTCTTCTTTTTCAGGCGAAAGACTTGGCAGTCCTTTTCTTCAGAAATGCTTTGAAGAAGCAAAGAAAATAGTAGACGACGCATACACGTACTCCAGAGAAGAGTGAGTTCATCATGCTTCCCTATCTTTGAGTGATGAGCAGTTTTCTGAACTTCAGAGCTCTGGATTTTTTTGTTAAAACTGAGAGATATTTCTATTTTCTCTCCTTTAGGAGCCTCAGTCGGGTCCGCAGGGATGCGGTGAAGCCGCATGATGCTCTTCGTCTCCTGAAGCAGCCTCGCGGTGACACTCGTTCAGCTGTGCGCTCTGCTGACTACATGGCACAGACTCTCCGTTTGGTCCAAGAGAAAGTACATCATGTGCATAAGCGCTCCCTCAATGCAACAGGTCAGACAGAGTCAAAGCTGATTTTTTCATTTTCTAGTTGAAAGTCTTGTGCTTCTGATTAAAAATTTAATTATACTTAGAAGTCAATAAGGACACATGGATTGTTGAACTGTACATTTCAGATTTGCTCACCGACCAAGATATTAGAGAACTTGCCCGGATTACTGGATGTGAGGCTCGACTCAGGAATCCATCATGTCTCAACACACCCAATATCAACAAGTATCGTACAGCCACCAGCGTCTGCAACAACTTGTAAGTCTTTATGATAAAGAATAACTTTCTTTAATCTAGTTTTATAGACATAATTGTTCAGCTATCTTGTCAAATTGGTTTTAGGACTAAATTTGGGGTTTATTGGTGCAAAGCATCATTTTTAGAAGCTCCTTTTTTAACTTACCTGCCAGAGAAGTACTTGTGAAATGCACTCTAACTTCTTAGGCCATTCACCACAAAATATCCTTTCTCTAGAATTTCAGCAGTAAGATATCTAATCTTGAACCTTCCACATTTCTTTTACAGGAAAAACCCTCGCCTTGGTGCCTCCAACACCCCCTTCACACGCTGGCTGCCCTCTGAATACGATGATGGCATCTCTCAACCAAAAGGATGGAACAGAACCCGCAAATTCAACAACTTCTTGCTCCCATTGGTACCAACTTTGCTTCAAGAATCCATATTTTTTCATCAAACTATTTGCCTCAAGTTTAAAATGAAATCTCTTTCTCTCCACTTTTAGGTGCGGCAGGTGTCCAATAACATCTTGAACACCACAGATGCAGGCGTTGTCAATGACACTGAGTACTCCCACATGGTGACCTTGTTTGGGCAGTGGAATGACCATGACCTCACCTTCACACCATTTTCACCAAGTATCCGCTCCTTTAGCAATGGACTGAACTGCGATGAAAGTTGTGAGCAGAGTGAGCCATGCATCCCTATCCCGGTTGGTGTCAAAGCTCAAACTAAATTGTTTAATTTTGTTTCACCTTTCTGTTGTTTCACTTCAAACTCTTCCTTTTGTAATGATCAGATCCCTCCTGGAGATCCCCGGATTCCCTCCCGCCCAGACAGCTGCATCCCAGCCTTTCGATCTGCTCCTGCCTGTGGAACGGGTTACTCTGCATTTAATTTTGGAGGAGAACCCAGCAAGAGGGAGCAGATCAATTCACTGACGGCCTTTCTGGATCTGGGGCAAGTATATGGCTCCGACGAGAAGCTCGCCCTGAACCTTCGTGACCTCACCAGTGATGCCGGCCTGCTGCGCGTCAACACCGAATTCAGGGACAACGGACGCGAGCTGCTGCCCTTCCACTCCCTGCAGGTGCAAATGTGCGCCACCCGCAGAAGAGTCACCAACGACACCAACGCCAGGGAGGTGCCCTGCTTTATTGCAGGTTTGTGACTTTCTAAGGAGAAATTGAGTTGCATGATTGAATACATAATCTTACAAAAAATAATAATAGCAAAAGGACAAGTCTCAAAACAGTATATTTGTTAAAGGATCAAGCAATCACTATATTTATTGATCCTTTCAACATAAAAAAATTATTTTGCTCAAATACTTGGTCTGTGTAATCAGTTACATAGAAAGGATTTGCTAATGAGAAAACCCTGCAAGTCTATATTTCAAGTCCCAGTATCTCCAATGTTCCACACTAATAAATTACTGTCGACCAAATTATAATTATAGTCATTTGTCATTTTTCGGTGGCTCCAAAAGTAAAAATGTCAGCAGGAACTGAGCTGTTGCTACATTTCTATGCAGGTGATGCCCGTGTAGACGAGAACATCGCTCTGACATCTATCCACACCCTGTTTGTGCGTGAACACAACCGTTTGGCTCGTCAGCTGAAGAGGCTGAATCCACACTGGGACAGTGAGACTCTCTACCAAGAGGCCCGCAAGATCATGGGTGCTTACACCCAGGTGAAACAACCCAAAGAGTTAGCAAGGAGTCTCATTTTACTCAAAGCCTGTGCTGTCTTCTCATATTCTGGTTTTTGTCTATCAGATGTTTGTCTTCAGGGATTATCTTCCTCACATTGTGGGTCCTGACGCAATGCGCAGACAGCTCGGACGTTACCCTGGCTACAACCCTGATGTTGACCCCAGCATCTCCAATGTGTTTGCGACGGCCGCTTACCGTTTCGCTCACCTGGCAATCCAGCCAGTTTTGTTCCGACTGGATGCAAACTACAGAGAGCATCCTACTTTCCCCAGCGTCCCCCTGTTCAAGGCTTTCTTCACCCCATGGAGAGTCATTTTCGAAGGTGTGCCCCGCAAAAATAACTGCAGCCATCTTGTCATTGTGCTGTAGGATGAAGCCCTCATTTCATTTGCTCTCACCCTCCAGGTGGAATCGACCCTTCGCTGCGTGGTCTGTTAGGTCGTCCTGCTAAACTGGGCACTCAGGACAACATGATGGTGGATGCTCTGAGGGAGAGATTGTTTGAATTCATCCAGCACTTGGCTCTGGACCTGGGTGCTCTGAACATGCAGAGAGGTCGTGATCATGGCCTGCCTGGTACGTGATTTACTAATTCCACCCTGCAGCTGGGAATCTGAACCTGATCTCTGACCCAATCCTCAAAGACTTAAGTCAGGAGTCTCAAAGTCCCTTCCTCAAGAGCTGATGTCCTGCAAATTGTATATCTGTTGGCCTCGAAACACCTGAATACACTATTATCTCCTTAGCATAGCTCTTTGAAGCTATATGGGTATTTAATTCAAATGTGGAGGAGAAGTGGTACATAAAAAAGATGCAGGACTCTGATCCTCGAGGAATGCAGTTTGATACATCTGATCTAAGTCTTCAATCGTGAGAAAATTTGTTAGTCTCTCCTTTGTCTTCTAGTGATCACCAGAAAGCCTCAGATACAATGCCAAGTAATGATTAGTCTAGAAGACCACATCATATGCTACGCTGATGACCTATTATTCTATTTACTGGTGTTGCGAAATTAATAACAGGAAGTTTTTCTAAATATTTAAAGTCTAAATATTTTATGCTACAAATAGAATGAATGTGTCGTCTTATTTGGACAAACATTTCTTGATTTCTCAACTTTCTCATCCTCATGATTTCTATCTCTTCAGGCTACAATGCCTGGCGCAGGTTCTGCGGTCTGTCCCAGCCTCGTAACCAGGCAGAGCTGGCTCAGGTTTTGGGGAATCCCTCCCTGGCTCGTAAGCTGCTGGAGCTCTACGGGACCCCCGAAAACATCGATGTGTGGCTTGGAGGTGTCGCAGAGCCATTTGTGCCTGGCGGCCGCGTGGGTCCTCTGTTCGCCTGCCTCATCGCAACTCAGTTCCAGAGGATTCGTCAAGGTGACAGGTAAGTAAAGTAGAGTAGAACTATTTGATTTTTTCACAAAAAGAAATTGTAGATTTGAATGGAAAAATTTACCAAAATTCTGTCATTTTTCAGGCTGTGGTTCCAGAACCCTGGGGTTTTCACGCCACAGCAGAGGCAGGCTCTGTCTGCTGTTACACTCTCCACAGTCATCTGTGACAACACCGGCATCACATCTGTGCCCAGAGATGCTTTCAGCGTCGTCTCACGTTTCAACCGTCTGGTGCAGTGCTCCTCTCTGCGCCGTCTGAATCTGTCGCCATGGAGGGAAAGACCCTGTGGCTTCGGTAAGAACCACAGGGACCGATCTAAGCACAGTTTTACACGATATGATGCGCTTTCTTGTAATCCTGTGTATAAAAACTTATTATGTTTGACGATTCAGGGTCTCCTGCTGATTGTTTGAAGACCAGTGACGGAGAGGTCAGTTTCACCGATGTTACTAAAATGATGTCACACATTGTCAAAGGAATAATGGGATCTTTTCAAATCCAAAGACTTGATGTGATGTTTATTTCTTCTTGATCAACAGAACTCAACCCAGACAGATGAACTCAACAATCTGGATCCCCAGGACCCACTGGATCTCCAGGATCCCTTTGACCCTGTGGACCCCGTCGACCCTCAGGACCTTGTGGATCCACAAGACCCATTGGAACTCGAGACCAATGAGGTAGTTGATTCTGAATAGTAATTTCATAAAGTCTGCAGTTCATTTGTATGTTTGTTGTCATAGATCAGATTTGGTTCCTTCATGAATTTTGATTATTATGTACAAGCAACACTATTCATTTCATCTTCTCAGCATTTTGACAAAGTGTATGTTTCTCCTCAGATCCAGTAAGACCATTCAGCTCCAGATGCCCTCCAGGGTCACCAATATTCAAACATCAGTGTCCCTTTTTGAGATTACAGGCCAACATAGAGAGATTCATTTGTTTCCGTCATAAAGAAACAAAACAAGCCGACACAGAACTCAGACACACCTATTTATATTCCTCAGCCATTGACTCGGCGCTTCTTCCATTGGAACTGGAATCTGGGATTACAATGAATTCCAGATTAAGCTGGCCATCAACATCTTCTTCTCAGGACATTTGTTCTACACTATGGGACATAAACCAGTGACTTGTGGGCTTTTACATTTATTTACGTCAGTCATTCGCAGATGACCAGATAAAGACACACCAAACCACTGTATCCTCGTTTTACTCTTTACTGTAATAATAAGGCATTTTTGTTAGTTTTAGCTTCATAGCAATGGGTTTTAATTGAACAAATGTGTTTTGACTCTGTTACAACTGCATGTAAAAAAAAATCAACATTAGAATAATTTTTGATGGAATCAACCAGTGTTAAATTGTGAACATGTTTTGCACTAATTCCTTTACCTTCAAATATTATGTTACGATTCATCTGATCATATTTTTGTTTTATTGCAATTATGTTGTTTTACATTGAATGTTAGATTTAATAAAGCAATTGAGAAATCACTGTTTTGTATGAGTTTTTTATTGATGAATTGTTGCAAAGTAAGAAATCCTATTTTTGAAAGTAGGAGGATTTGTGGAACATCTAAAAGGGGAACTCAAAAAATGTTGAAGGTTGACTGCCTTGCACATTAATTGACATTTTTTGAAAAGATGTAGAGAAAACATCAAAATATATTCCATATTTTACTGATGAATAAACATAAGAAGAAAAACTAATTAAAACTAATGCAATTGTTCTGTTAACAATTTCAAAGGAATAGGCACCCTGTTGAACTCCTAGCTCAGATTTACTTCCTTTATGAGGCGATAAGAATTTTGATTATTATGTGCAAACAATACTTTACTCATTTCATTTTTTTCCAACTTTTTGACACAATTTTTATTTCTCCTTTAATCCAGTGAAGGCATTCAGCCCCAAAGGTTCGCCAAAATCTGTTCACATCAGTCAGATACTGCAGAAAATGATCAGGTGATGAGAAAACATACGAAGCAATGTATCCTCATTTACTGTAATAATAAGACATTTTTGTTAGTTTTAGCTAAATAAGCATGGGTTTTAATTGAGTGAGTCTGTTTAACTCTGTTACAGCTTGTAGTCTATTAAACCAAAAATCAACACAGAGTCAATTGTAGAGATACTATACAAATCATGGAGCTTAAAAATGTGATATTTTATGCTTTGCCTGCCAATATTTTTGTTTTAGTGCAATTTTGTTGCCTTACATCAACTTGCACTCTCCCTGAGAAATACAGCTCTTTTGTCAATGTGAAATTATGTTGTTAGAAAATGTTAAAGTGAAAAATTTTAAATATATGTTTGACACACAGAACCAATACAAGATAAAGTAGAAAAATTGAGTATTTGAACAAAAGTAAAAAAAAAATTAAAGAATGTGATTACTTTATACTTTAGCAGAAGTACTCTTTTGATTTATAAATATAATTTATAGGATAATTTCTTTTTTTTCCAGTTCTGATTAGTTCAGTGCTTTAATTTTCAGCAAGAAATTATTTTCAAATGAGAGACAAGATATCAGAGTGACCAACAGAGGGAGCCAATGTTCCTCTTTCACATTTTTAAATATCATTACAGTCCTCACTTCTGTTCAAAAGCTTCAGTTACACAATGAATCCCTCAACCCAGATTATAAGATAGAAAAACAGATTTAAAAAATATGTTTGCATTGCTTCAAAATGCTCGCTTTTATTTATAAACTGAAGAAAAACTGCCTTATGTGATGCTGTCTTTTGTCTTCAGCTGACTCATTTTTTCAGAATCCAGATTTGGCAGCTGGGTGAATCTTAATTTTCCAGACTGCCTGGACTGCATGTCTTTGCAAAGAGAAGAAGACAGTCGCATGTTCAGTATAAACAGAGGTGGACATGGGAGTAAACATGCTAATGATACACAAGAGACAGATTAAAGCAAAGTCTTTCTTACTGGGAGTGATGGGTGTCATTGAACAAGCTAATCTGGTTTTAACATAAAAATCTGATCAAAAAATTGTGATACATGAGTTCCTAAACTAGGTTTTGATGGGATTGTAAGATATTTGATTCCTAAAGAGCTTATGGTGACTAAAAGCCTGAAAAGACAAATCTGAGATTTATCCAGATTATCTCTAATGTCAATTTGTGTCTAATTAATATGAAGAAAAAAGCCAATTACATTTTTTTTTTGTCCAAGAGGCAAATAACTCCATATTACCAACCACAATTAATTATGGACGATCTGAATTTAAACATAGACTCAGAGTTTTTTTATGTTTAGCAATTAATTATATTCATTGTTATTATTATAATTGTGTTATTAACTGGGCCTGGTGGACTGGGATCAACAGGAGGAAGAATAACCCCACAATGTAAAGTTCGCTGGGTTGTGTCATGATTAAGTGCTCCGCCTACAGCTTTTTGGTTGAAGAAAACATGCAGTTTGCCACGTAGTCCACCAGACAGTGTATGTGTGTCTATGTGTTACTCAACCCCCAGCTTGTGTGCAGTAATGGATACCTATTATTCATGGCACATGAGAAAGTATTTAGATGGTCTGTTTTTGTCATAAGAGCTTCAACTCAATTTTATGTGAATGGAGAGAGGAAAAATTAGCTACTGGAAGGAAGTATTGGAGTGTAAATCTGGTCAGAGTTAGAGAGGAAGCAGAACGCTGAAGCTTGAAACACATGTGAAGCAGAGCAGAGGAAGTCGAAGAGGCCGTGGTTGTTTCAGGATTCTGTGTGGCCCTGTTTTACTTCAAAGGGGGTTTAAGTTATATGTGCTGAAATTGATAAAAGATGAGCTGCTGAAGTTTGAGCAAGGGGTTTTGGCCTCAGCTGAAGCGAGAAGTTGCTTCAGCTGACTTTTTGAATAATGTCAACTTTATATTAAAAGTGTCATGATTTACCGAATGTGCAATGAATTTTCAGAGAACTCCTTTTGTTGATATAATTATTTGGTTCAGTATTGTAGAAGCAGAGCCACATTTAAGACTTGCAGGACTCCAACCCTCTAGGACTGGGAGTTAGACACCCATAATCTAAATGTAGATTTGAATGTACATTTAAATCATTTGCTATCCTGCAAATGCTGGAAAGCATAAGTGAACCTCCATTCTCTAGCCTGTTTAAGCCTCAAACAGATTTTTTTATGTTATTTAGTTCAATCCACCACTATCCACATAGCATGACGCTTCCACCACCATGTATTAAATGGAGATGGGTTGTTAAAGGCGACGGCTTTGTTAGCTTTGCATGCAGGTTGCAAAGAGCTCGTTTGACACTAGCTAACATAAGCACCTTATTCCACATGTTCACTAAGTGTCTGATGTGAATGTTAACATCTGTCTCATATAAACGGGCAGTTGCCAGGCTTCTGCAGCAGGAAATGGGTGAGGAGGAGATGCACTGGTTTGACACTCGTGTTGGAGCAGGGAAATGAAAGAAGACCAGGATTGAAACCATTTCCTGGAATTGCAGATGTGACTGTTTATGGTTTTCGTTCATCAATAGCTTTTGGCTTGCCACTCTTTCATGAAGGGTAGATTTGTGAAGAACATGACTAATAGTTTCCATGCAGATTTCCTTACCTGATCTTTGGATCCACATTGCTCCACATTGGCCTCCTAGCTGTTTTCTTCTCCCCGCCTGGTCTGTGACGTGCTGCTGTTCACTAATTATCACTAGCAAACCTCTAAAGTCTTTAAATAACAGCGTTAAACCTGACAATCCAATACGCACTGCTATTTAGCCATTCTGAAGACCACTGAGATTAAAGAGGGCTAAGTGCTAATGTACACCGCAGACTATTTTTTTAGTCCAACACATAAAGTCCTAATAACAAACACTAAAGCTTAAGTTTTACAAAAGTTGTAAAACAAAAAGTTCCAGAAGCAGGAATAGTTTTCCAGGGTGATATAAGTGTATGCTGACTCAGTAATGACTTCAACAGTTTACATTTTGGTTTTACAATAAATTTAGCTCAAAGACATGGTGAAGATTTCTCTTCCTTTCTCACATGTCTTCAACACAGTCACAGCTTTTTCTTCTTTTCCTTCATCTCCGATTTATTCAAATTCCTTAAGGCTCGTTCCCGTGCCCAAAAGAGTCAGGAACAGGGATGAATTCCAGCGACGTGGTCTGAAGAACTGTGCTAATCCCTTACAGATGTGTCTGAATCTTGTGAGGGAATAGTAAAGGGCATAAAGTGAGAGTTAAAGAAGGGACTCTGACATGGAAAAAGTTTAATGAATTACCCGCAAAACAAGTGAATGACCCAGAACAGCTGGATGTGACCGCCTGGAGTCTTAGGGTAGAGGACGGATTTGATCATGAAGCACATGTTGTTCGGTCTCTGGAGGAACTTTTGGTATGCAGAATCAAGCTATGTCAGTCATCCTCAAAGCTGAAGTATAACTGCATGCCAGCCAAAACAAAGAGCATCCTGAATAGTTATATGCTGGAAAAATATAAAGCTATGAGAAGAAGAACTGTGTGACAAAATAGGAAACATTTGCAAAAGAGCAGATGTTTTTTTTGGACTGCTGAGGTTTCTGGGACTGGAAAGATCATTTTTATGAGGCTACAAATTCTTCTTAACTTGTTTGTGTCTTTCTTGATCCTTAAAGTTATTGCTTTCCTAAATAAGTGTGAAACTTTAAAACATTAGGTTTTGTCCTCATCTTTCAGTAACTAGCCGCAGTATTCAGGGAGGATTTGTTCTGGGGCTCTTCTGCCTCTGATTTGTCCTCATTGTTTACACAAGCAGAAAAGGAACGTCAAGTGATGGTGGGACGGTGTGTCCTCCAAGAACAATACAACTGCCTTAACTGTAATTTACAGTATGATTTAAATGCTTGTCCCATGCAGAAAATCAGTCCAGGACACAGATTACAAGGTAGTTTGTTTTAGTTTGTTTAGTTTTTTGTCTTTCTGCTGCCGCATAGGGACTACGTTTTTATCGGCACGCACATAAAACTAAAATTAAAGAAAAAAAGGAGAATAATATGAAAGTATAAATTTAAAAAAAAAAAGAAAACCTAAACACAGAGACTGCCCCTCCCTCAGTCAGGCGCCCTTGAGCAAAGCCTTTAACACCTAGCAGCTCCTCTGTTACCTCAGAGTGTTAATAATGATTTAGCTGCTGCTGGGTGACTTCCAGGTGTGAAAGTTAACAAAGAGTGTCTTTGATAAACTAAAAATGCTTAACTGCTGCTATTATGATTTCCTCATATTTCTATTATGGAAGAACATTAAGGCCTAAATGGTAGAATCACGGAGCTTCTGTCAGCACAGAGATATCATTACAGGGGAAGAAGTGATTAAACTTGTGCAGTCCTGAGCAAAAGTTTGTGCAAATGTCTGAAACTAACCTATTTTTAGTAACATTTACAGAAATGATCTAGGATACAGGAGTATTTGTACACTG